AGGAGGTAGCCAACACTGTTTTATATATATATATATATATATATATATATATATATATATTTTTTAATTGGGGTAGCCCCCAAAATATTGGGACATATAAAAAAAATAAACATTTGCAGCCTGCAGTGCATTTCTTGCAGTCCTGATGCATGGAGAAATGCTCAACTCCTGATGCATGGAGAAAAGGCCTTCACAAGCCTCTGCTATTGTGTACATAGTTTATAGTAAGTGACCCATAGGTTGAGGAGGCGGTGACCGTGGCGGTGGAGGTGGAAGTGGCGGTGGAGGAGGAGGAAGTAGCCAACACTGTTTTATATATATATATATATATATTTTTTTTTTAATTGCGGTAGCCTCCAAAATATTGGGACATATAAAAAAAGAAACATTTGTGGCCTGCGGTGCATTTCTTATAGTCCTGATGCATGGAGAAATTCTCAACTCCTGATGCATGGAGAAAAGGCCTTCACAAGCCTCTGCAATTATGTACATAGTTTATACCAAGTGACCCATAGGTTGAGGAGGCGGTGACCGTGGCAGTGTAGGTGGAAGCGGCGGTGGAGGAGAAGGAGGTAGCCAACACTGTTTTTTATTTGTTCATTGGTGGTGAAGTGGTGCTGTTCCGCAGAGCGACTGACCCGTGCGTGCTGCATCCGAAACTCCACTATCGCCTGCTGCTGCTTGCACAGTCTCTCCAGCATGTGCAAGGTGGAGTTTCACCTTGTGGGCACGTCGCATATGAGGCGGTGAGCGGGAAGGCCGTAGTTACGCTGCAACGCAGACAGGCGAGCAGCTGCAGGGTGAGAACGCCCAAAGTGCACACAGACGGCACACACGTTGTGCAGCAGCTCTGATATATCTGGGTAGTTTTTCATGAATTTCTGCACTATCAAATTCAGCACATGCGCCAGGCAAGGGATGTGCATCAAACTGGCTAGGCCCAGAGATTTCGCCCATTATCGCACACCACCAGGACGGGCTTGAAGCTCAGTTGCAACAACCACTCATCGATCTGTTGTTCCATGCCCGTCCACAGCTCCTGTGCGGTGTGGGTTTTTTCCCCCAAACAGCCTGCTGTCGTTTCCTCCTGGCTGTGCTGAAGTTGGTGGTGAAGGTGTTACGCTGACCGGATGAGGAGGTGGTAGAGGAGGAGGAAACGGAGTAGGAGGAGGGGGCAACAGGAGGCAAAGCTGTGTACCCAAATAAAGATTGTCAAACGTTGTATCCTGGAACTGTGTCCCATCCGGTTGCTGGGGAAATGGGTCTGACCTATTCTTATCAAAGGGGATAACCATCTGTTACCCGCTTCAATTGGTGGAAAGCGGCAGGATCCCATGTTCCTGCCAAAAGACACATGGACTACAGTGACCTACACTGCAGGACTTGTGTGGAGCCACAGGAATAACGCCTGGTGGGCGTAACAAGGCCGAATTGACTGCTGCGCTCATGGAGGACGAACAGGCACACAGTGAGGCAACGAACCCCAGCCAGGGGCCGGAGATGAGGAGGAAGTGCGCAAGGAGGTGGAACAGAGCCTGGCTTATTACCAAGAGCCACCCTCTGAGGAGATTGTCAGCAGGACCTTTTTGGAGGTGCAAGCCTCCTTGCCAATAGACAGAGGGTGACCTCCATGAACCCAGATGAAGGAAGAAGGGAGCAGAGGGCGCCATAAGCACATCCACCCTGGCCCTCAAGCTACCATACAATACCTTCAAAGATTTCAAAGAAGCAGAAGCAGGCATCGATTACTTTTTACAAGACTTTGAGTGCCAGTGCCTACTCCAAGATGTGGACCCCAGCGACTGGGTCACCATCCTGGCCAGCAAACTAGTGGGGAAGGCAGCGGATATTTACCGGCTGTACCAGAAGAGCAGATCAGATTTACACAAATTCTCCTGGCCCGGTATTCGGTCACCCCCGAGCAATACCGCCAAAAGTTTAGGCAGACCCGGAAAGGGAAGAAGGACTCCCATGCGGAGTAGGTGTGCCGCATCACAAGGGCCACCCAGAACTGGTTCAACTCCCATCAAGCCAAGTTCCTGGAGGAGATCACCCAGCTCGTCATGCTAGAGCACTTTTTCAATGGGCTCCCCAATGACCCAAGAAGTATTGGTGAGAGCTGCTGAAGCTAGCTCATTGGCAGGGCATTTGGGCAGGAGCCAGACAGCATCTCGGCTCACCCACAGCTTCTTCTGGCCAGGCATCTCTCAAGATCTGAGGCAGTACTGCCAGATGTTTGCCAGAGAGTGGGGAAGAGAAGGGACCGGCACAGGGCCCCCCTCCATTCCCTACCTATTAGTGAAGATCCGTTCGGCAGAGTAGCTGTTGACATTATAGTTGCACAGGCACTTTGGTGATAGCGACTTTGCATTCGGATGTCTGCCCTATCAACTTTCGATGCCACTTTCTGCGCCTACCATGGTGACAACGGGTAATGGGGAATCAGGGTTTGATTCCGGAGAGGCAGCCTGAGAAATGGATACCACATCCAAAGAAGGCAGGGGGGCGCAAATTACCCACTCCCGACGCGGGGAGGTAGTGACGACAAATAACAATACAATACCTGTAATTGTAATGAGTCCACTTGAAATCCTTTAACTCTGATCAATTGGAGTGCAAGTCTGGTGCAGAGCGACTGACCCGTGCGTGCTGCAGCTGAAACTCCACTGTCACCTGCTGCTGTTTGCACAATCTTTCCAGCATGTGCAAGGTGGAGTTCCACCTTGTGGGCACGTCGCATATGAGGTGGGAAGTTAAGCTGCAGACAGGCAAGCAGCAGCAGGGTGAGAACGCTGAAAGCGCGCACAGCCGCTACAGTGAATGTCACATCCTGTTCCAAGTTGCAGACCAGTCTGGTGATGGCTTCTGGTATCCAGTACTCTTTTTACTGAAGCTGCATCAGGCTTCTGGTATGTGGCCGCACAAACGCTGGTGCTCAACACAAGGTGGCATGCGGTTACCCTGCACCAGATCCAGCTAATCCATCCCTCACTGTGACTCCTAACTTCAACATCAGGCATACTGGGTCCGGGTCGTCCGACCGCCGCCCAAACAGTGTCTGGGTCCCGGTCACCGGACTGCGAAACTGCAAATGGCTCATTAAATCTTACTTGGATAACTGTGGGAATTCCAAAGATAATACATGCCAACGAGCACTACGGGACTAGGCGCTCCGCGTTTGCACCCTGCTCCCTCTTATGCTGTGCTGGTGCCTCTGTGCGACCAGCACCTCTTTCTCCAAACTGCACATGTCACTCGTATGACCTTGATTCCATGTGGGGTCTAGGACCTCATCATCCTCCACATCATATTCCACCCACATCTCGCAGATAGCCACAGCAGTTGGAACCCATGTTTTTCCAGCATGTAAAGTCTGCAAAGGACATATGGAAATTGTTTTAGAATTGTATCCAGGCAACAGTTTTCCCTATAAACGGACCTCTCAGTTTGACTTGTGAGGGTATTGCCCCCGAATTACAATATTGTTATATTAGTATTTGATGGTTCTATTTGACTGACAGATATGAAGTGCAGGCCGCAAATGTACTATTTAGCACCCAAAAAAATTTGAATTGGTCAAACTGCGCTGTAACCACAGTATTTGACGGTTCTGTTTGACTGTCAGATATGAAGTGCAGGCCGCAAATGTACTATTTAGCACCCAAAAAAAAATTGAATTGGTCATACTGCGCTGTAACCACAGTATTTGACGGTTCTATTTGACTGTCAGATATAAAGTGCACATCCCAAATTTACTTTTTATTACCCAAAACAATTTTAATTTTTCAAAGTTCGCTATAAGCACAATGTTTGACGGTTCTATTTGACTTTCAGATATGAAGTGCATCGCAGGACGCAAATGTACTATTTGGCATTAGCACCCAAAACAATTTGAATTTTTCTCAGTGCGCAGAAAGCACAGTGTTTGACGGTTCTATTTGACTCTCAGATATGACGAGCACACCCCAAATGTACTTCTTAGGAGCAAAAAAAATGGGAATTTGTCAAAGTGCGCTGTAAACACGGTATTTGACGGTTCTATTTGACTCTCAGATATGAAGTGCAGGGCCCAAATTTACTATTTAGCAGATTAGAACCCAGAAAATAAGAATGTTTACAATTGCGCTGTAACTAAATTTACTATTTAGCACCCAGAAAATAAGAATGTTTACAATTGTGCTGTAACTGTAGTATTTTACGCTTCTGTTTGACTCTCAGATATAAAGTGCAGTGCCCAAATTTACTATTTAGCAGATTAGCACCCAGAAAAGAAGAATGTTTAAAATTGCGCTGTAACCGCAGTATTTGATGCTTCTATTTGACGCTCAGATATAAAGAGCACACCCCAAATTTACTATTTAACAGATTAGCACCCAGAAAATAAGAATGTTTACAATTGCGCTGTAACCGCAGTATTTGACGCTTCTATTTGACTGTCAGATATGAAGAGCACGTCCTAAATATACTTCTTAGGAGCAAAAAAATGGGAATTTGTCAAAGTGCGCTGTAACCGCAGTATTTGACGCTTCTATTTGACTCTCAGATATGTAGTGCAGGGCCCAAATTTACTATTTAGCAGATTAGCACCCAGAAAATAAGAATGTTTACAATTGCGCTGAAACCGCAGTATTTGACGCTTCTATTTGACTCTGAGATATGAAGAGCATGCCCTAAATTTACTATTTAGCAGTTTAGCACCAAAACAATTAGAATTTTTACAACTGCACTGTAACCGCAGTATTTGACGCTTCTATTTGATTCTCAGATATGAAGTGCACCCCACTAATGTACTAGTTTGCAGAATTCTTTCCTAATCTGTCCTTGAAAGCGGCAGCATCCTCTCCCTACACTAATAGCTCATGTGACGTGCGGCGCTACATGACTCCAGCTTATATATAGAGGCTGAGGGCACACGAGTCAAAGTGCAGGGCCTAAATTTACTATTTAGCTGATAAGCACCAAGAAAAAAAGAATGTTTACAATTGCATTGTAACCACACTATTTGACGCTTCTATTTGACTCTCAGATATGAAGAGCACGCCCCAAATTTACTATTTAGCAGATTAGCAACCAGAAAATAAGAATGTTTACAATTGCTTTGTAACCGCAGTATTTGACGCTTCTATTTGACTCTCAGATATAAAGTGCACCCCACTAATTTACTATTTAGCACCAAAAAAATTTGACTTTTTAAAACTCCAATGTAACCACAGTATTTGACGCTTCTATTTGACTCTCAGATATGAAGTGCACCCCGCTAATGTACTAGTGTGCAGAATTTTTTCCTAATCTGTCCCTAAAAAGCGGCAGCATCCTCTCCCTACACTAATAAGAGCTCATGTGACGTGCGGTTGAGGGCACATGAGTCAAACGCTTGTTGATTGGCTGCCTTACAGCCTTTCAAAACGCGCCATTAAATCGCCAAACACCAAACTCCAACCCGAACATACACTGATATGTCCGGGGTCCAAAAAACGTAATGTTCGGTACAAACCCGAACTTTACAGTCCGGGTTCGCTCAACTCTAGTGATGATTAACTGCTTTAACCCTTTGCAAACAAGTGACATTCAATGACTTTATTAATGTTATCAAATGTGAAAAGAGTAAAGAGCATGCAAGGAAATTAAAGAAAGTAAAGAATCTCTAATGAGTTCATTTTTGTACTAGATATGAGATAACATAAAATAATTAAATGTCACTAATAAGCAAGGGAATATGATTATTTACAATGTTATTCAATAAAAACTAATTTTGACTAAGCAAATTAGGAATAAAACATGTAGTACATATTTGGGGAAATCTGGGTGGTGCATTTCAGATGTAGTTCAGTAGATTTACTATTCCATGAAATCAGCAAACTGCTTCCTACCTCCGATTTGGTCTGGATGAACACTGAATCAAAATCCATCTGAATCAATCTGAACACCTTTCAAATAGCATGAAATAGCACACGAATCCCTTATGAATGAATTTCATAAAGTTCATAAATGCCTGCTGGCTGATTTCATGCTCAGTGCTACTGGAAGTGACAAGACCACTGTTAAACTGTTTTATCACTTAATGTTCTAAATTCCCTTAGTTTCTCCACTACACAGATCAATCAGTGTTAAAGTTTGACATATGTAATATCAGGTGATTGAAATGGACAAATACATCACAAGGGACTGCTGATATATAATGCCTCATATTTCATTATAGTATTGATGATATGAGGGCTTAAGGAACTCTCTAAGAAACATAATCATTATAGCTCAGTGTAATGGTTCAAGGCAATCATAGTTAAAGAGACATGCGTCCAACAAGTTCAGCTTTTCTCACATCTGTTTTTGCTGGTGATCCAAAAGAAGGCAAAAAAACAATGTGAAGAGCTTCCAATTTTGCACAAACTAGGGTGAAAAATCCTTCTTGACCCCAAAATGGCAGTGAGATATCTCCTTGGATGAAGGATCTATTATCCCACTAATTAAAAATTATATCCCTGAATATTATGTTTTTGCAAGTATTTATCCAATTGATGTTTAAACACCGTACAGACTCTGATAAAACCACCACTTCAGGCAGAAAATTTCCATATCCTTATTCTTACTTTAAAAAAAAAAAATATATATATATGTTGCCTTAAATTACATCTCACCTCTTCCTGTCTAAATGTGTAATTGTGTGTCCAATGTATAGTCCTGTCTATGAATAGATTTCCAGACAATCGTTTGTTTCAGCCATGAATATGTTTGTATAATCCGATCATATCCCCTCTGAAGCGCCATTTTTCCAAACTAAAGCAATTTCAATTTGTTAACCTTTCTTCATAACTAGTGATGTCCCGAACGGTTCACCGGTTCAGGTGCCCATAATTTTACAGCATATTCAAGGTGTGGTCTTACCAGTGATTTATAAAGTGATTTATAAAGAGACAAAATTATATTTTCATCCCAATAATTAATGTCCCTATTTATACATTACAATACCTTACTGGCATTGATAGACATTGCACATTGTTGTCTATAACAATTACCATATACTTCAAGTGAGTTGTTATCCCTAGTTCAGTTCCATTTAGGACGTAAGTTGTTTGTGTCTTATTTACTCCGAAGTGCATAACTTTCCATTTTTCTACAATAAACTTTATCTGTCATTTGAGTGCCTACTCCCCCATGTATCTAAATCCATCTACAGCAAAGTAACCCCTTGCTCATATTGTATTACCTTACAGAGTTTTGTATCATCTGCAAACATGGCTTTCAATACCTATTTCAAGATCATTTATGTTAAATAGAAGCGGTTCACGAACAGAACCCTAAGGGACACAACTTACTACTTTTTTCCAGCTAGAAAATCTAAAATTAATGACAACTCTCTGTACGTAAGGTAATGTTCTATCCATGAACAATAATTTTCATCTAGACCAATTTATTTTAGTTTAAACACTAACCTATTGTGATGAACTGTATCAAAATTATTATTACTAATAACAATGTTCTTCCCAAAGAATTCCTGAATATTTTCTCTTAATAACCCTTCAAACACTTTCCCAGCCACAGAAGTT